TTACTTTTCTCTTAATGAGTGCTTTCTTGAAGATCCATTTGTCTCAGTTCTCTTTTTATATTTTTTTTTCATTGTTCATATTCAACTTGTCGTCACCTAACTTTGGATTAATAGTAGCCCCAACTTTGCCACCCAATACACGTTAGGGAGAAAAGTTAATTACCACAAATGACCCGTCAGCAGATCCTATGAAAATCTAATTCAACTTTCATAAAGACGCATGCGATGTGAGATTTTATTGCAAAGAAAGAGATAAACTTCCCCAAAACAACCACGAATTATTAAAGAGAACTTCATAACTTGTTCCCAATAGATACTTGTGGTATTAATGGATTCCGCGAAGATGAGGGGAAGACATGGGTTGGTGGCTGTTTTGTTTTTAAGTAAACCTTTGTTAAAAGTAGATATTGGTGCAAACTTTAATGTCCATTATCGATGTCTTAAGGATGATCCCGTTCATACTTCTTTTGATTAAAGAGGAATCAAAGATTATGGTGCTTCTTTGATTATGTTGTTGGAGCCATGTTATGGATTGCAATTTTTTTCAAGGATAAATAACATCTGACCCATTTATGTTTTACAGGAGGAAATCATTTTTTTTTTAATTAGAAGAGTGTTCCTATCAATGGCAAAGGCATAACAACGTAAATCAATATAAATGAAGTTTACCAATAGAAGTTTGGTCTAATAAAAAGAGTTAGTTTCTTATAATGTGGTGAAGTAAAATTCAAATATCCGTTAGAAGAAATGTTTACATTTGCTGTCTAACAATATCTTGAACAAGATTTCCTCTAATAAAATATACTTACACCTACCAAAAAAAAAAAGAGTGAAATTCTTTTTATTCCCTTTGGGAATACGTGAACATGAGCTGAAGACATGAATTGATGGCTATTTTGTTTTTAAGTTGAACCTTTAAAAAAAGAAGTTGATATAAACTTTACTGTCCATTATCAATGTCTTAAGAATGATCCCTTTCATACTTTTATTTTTGTGCAGAGGAATCAAGGATTATGGTGCTTCTGATTAAGTTGTTAGAGCCAATTTACGGAGTGCAATTTTTTTCACGAATAAATAGAATTGAATCCATTTATGTTTACAGGAGGAAAGCATATATACACACACACATATTTTAAATAAGAGTAGTGTTCCTATCAATGGCAAAGGCATAACAACGTAAATTAATATGAACGAAGTTTTGTTTTCTGGCATTAAAAATCAAGGATTTGCATATATATATATATATATATATATATATATCTCCAGTTTCCATAATTCCCATGTTCTCTTTGCCATTTCATTCAGCATACCATTCTGTATCATGAGTGACCGGTACATTCTAGTCAGCATTCTATTTAAGGCACAACATGGCCAGCTTTGAGGATCACGGTCTTAGAAGGTCATAGGTTCTCACCCAAACACGTGGATGATAACCTATCTCTATTCAACCAACCAGATTCAAACAGAGCAGACAAAGTTATCAGAAACTATGCCTCATCACACAAACACAACTATGCCTCATCACACAAACACAAGAGCAAAGATAAGTAGCTAGGTCTTGAAGACCATTCTCTAAATCATGCCGCATTAAATCAATGCATTCTTGCGGTGACTCTGGCATTAGTGATTGAAATCTTGTGTGCTATTCCTGTATGCCATTTATTTAGACTCAATTTGTAGACGGGATAATCAATGGCCATGAAAGCATGAAAAAGAAGGATTACCAGATCCAAATGCCAATCAGAATACAGGTCAATGCAATTAAAGAGAGGTTACCCTGTTTCGATTCTATCAATAATATACAGAGCTTCAAAGATACAAAGTTGTTCAACCGAAAACCAAATGCAGTAAAAAATGTCCAATGCATGTATGCTTCAAATCCTCATAATTACTAAGAAAAGTAAGACATAAACCAAATCGACGTGATAAAGATACTCTATAACATACGGCAGCAAAGATTATATTTCAGCAAAATTTAAAGTGTTTAAGAAAATGACCGAACACTCAGTCTAGAAGGAAACGATTTAGGTTCAGTAGAAACATCGGTAGATCTTTTTTCTTACCGATCATTATTAGCAGCTCACATTAATGATGGCACATAAGCACATAAATTACATTGCCTTCCATTGAATAAATAGACAAAGTATTTGACAAAACGTTAAAGAAATAAAGGGAAATGCCACACAATAGAATCAAAATCTTTCGCCAGTACTCCCAATCCCAAATTCCCAATCTTGTTCCAATCGGAAGGCTAATATTTCTCAGCAACTCGTTCTTCAGTTTAATGCTGAATTTCTCATCACTGTGACAAATAGCCCAACTTCCAACATTTGGTCTAAAAAAGTTGTTAGGATAAAATTTCCAGGTGCTGCACATAGGGCTTACAACATGAATAGAAGCAGTCTTGGCCATAATAAACAACATTGTAGCAGAATGGGGGTTAATTGGCTAAAAAGTACCTCATTTACTCCGTTTCTTGGCTTCACTATATAAGACGACTCCAATAACTGTGAGAGTATATCCAAGCATTCCAGTCACTGATACAGGATTCCTAAATATCAAAATGGAGATAACAACTGCTACAGCTCCTTTAGCATTTCCTAGGACCTAAAAGAGCCATTGATCCTTCAAGTCAAGTAATATACAATATAATATAGTAGCTTTTAAATATATTAAAAAATCAATTATACGACTACCCTATCCTCTTTCACAAAAAGATATGCGTATTATAAGTGAACTTGTTCAAGCCAGAACTTGTTTGTCTGACATGGGGAAGGATTAGGTATTGCTAGGAATATCATGCAAATGATTTACAGGACCAAAAGTCAAAAGAATCAGGATTTTAGGAAGCCTTTTTAGATGAAATTTGTGTTTTTTAGAAATTTTACTAATCCTGTCAACATGCTTTTCCATAACCACTGTTGTCTCATGCAGTGTGTAGAAAGTCATGCAAAACTTTGTTACCTAGCCAAACAAAAGAAAATGTTAACCTAGGACAAACTTCCTAATATGTACTTTTTTGGTTGGCCAATAACCTTTCTTACACATAAAGATATAGGGTATTCTAAAACGTATAACACTTTTAGAAAAGCATCAAATTGTACTGACGCAATATAATATCTTACATTCTTATGTCACCACCGAAATACCAGTGTGGCTACAAGTTGTTCATACCCATACCAGGTATGTACCTGTTACCGGCACACGTTGAGTATGCCTAAATGCATAGAAGGTACGTATTCTTTTTTGAAAAAATTAAGCCCAAATGATATAGATTTATTTCAATTTTCAAGTACAATAATTGGGTAAACAAAAGCTGGCAGAAATATCTATTATTCTTTCTCTTTAATCATAATATTATTGTTCACTGATTTATGGATGATAATTTTTTTTTAAAAAAAAAATAGAGTTAAACAGAAGAATAAAGCAGAAGGGAAAATAAATATATATTTATTGCCAATTTCTCATATCAAATATTTAAGATATTCCTGAAATATGAAAGGGTAAAGAGAGATAAATGATTACCTGCAGGGTTAAGGCACTGGTGTGCTTTGTGACCAAGAAATTGGTCAAATTCACTAAATATGCTAATGCAGAATTGAATATAAGTAACCACAAAATCCTTGAATCATCTCTGGCAAGTGCAATTGTAATTCCAACAACATCTTCCTCCATTATTATTGCCGCTGGAAGAAGGAATGCAACAGCCACCGGTGCCATGTACATAAGAAGGTTCATAGAATTAAGCTTTTCCCTGAGAAGTCAACGAATCCATTTCAGTAGCAGCCAGGCCTTAAGTACTAAGATACTTATTATTTTATGGATGGCACTCATTCAATCAACAGTGCATGATGAATAGATGATATTTCACAAATGCTCATATCGAATGGCAGGAAAGTTTAAGCACATTACGCTTCAGAAGACAGCAAGACTCCTTGAAGCACAGTTTTAAGTGCCCGAGCTGCTGTAGCACCAACGCACATTATAAATCCAAATAAATGAAAACTTGGCTCTCCCTTCACACAAGAGAAAAGACATTAAGTACCAGGAATTATAGAATGTTAACTTCAAGCAGAAATCAATTGTAAGCTTTTCTTTTATGGGATGTAACTTTTAATCAACAGTTTGTTAATCCATTGTCAACAATGTCAAAAATAATAAGCGCACTGGAGCCCACAATTAATTAACATTACAGATCCCTTCCCCCCTTCTAGTTTGACAGGCATAATCAAACTGTATTCGGAAAAGTCAAACAAATAACATCTAGGTTTATTGTTCATTTAGGTCAATGAGGGCCCGCCTCTTGATTAAATGTGTGCATGCAACTTGTTGGCATCACAAAAATAAATTACATTGTCAAGAGTAATTACCGACACTAAAACTTAAAATTAACATATAACACGCGCAACATTAAGTAATATATACCCCTTCTAGGAACTATTTTAGCACAGTGATGAATGCGAGCCATCCCTCCCTCTTGAGCTACTCGACTTTAACTAAATTTCTTAATACCATGAAGTTGTTAAGATGTCCTTATAACGAGCAGGGGGGGTCGTACCATTCATTAATCTTCTTTCAAAGAACCTGAACATACCATTTCCATATAATTATGATCAGCCAAAGTAGGTATAGACCGGCAAAAAAGATCTTAATTACATGCCGTTTTCCCAAATCTCAACCACCACAATATAGCCCATTCTCATATTGTGTTAGTATCATGAAATACACACAATAAATAAGACTAACAGAAAGACAAGAGATAGAGACAGATACCCCACTGGCAATCATAACGCCGGCAACTACAGGAATGAGAGTGATATAGGTGAGCCATCCCTCCCTCTTGAGAGTCATAAGGTAAGCAAACACGGCAGTGAAAAAAGGCGTCGTCGCACCCACCGCTTGGTTAAACGACACAGGCAGGTACCGGAGGGAAATGTTCCCGCCTACTACCGACAAGCAGAAGATAAGACCCAAAGACGATATCTTCACAAATTGGACCCGCGACCTCACCGTCTGCAACGGCGCGACTTTGAGCCAAGAAATAGCGACGTAGCTAAGAATCGAACAGGCCATCATGTGACACAGCGTCAAAAAAATCGGGTACCTGAACCCATAATTGCTCAGCAAGTACTTGTTCAGAAGCAACACCCCAATGTTGGACGAGTACCAGCACGCTACAAGTCCGAAGGTGAATAACCGGCCTGAGGCTGGAACCTTCATGGCGGGAAGCAATTCCAATTTCGGAAATCCCAACTGTTGGATGGCAAGCAATGGGTTTGATAGATTCAGTTAGGGTTAGGTTTTTCCCAGAGACAAAACTTCAAAGGAGAAGAAGAAGCAGTGTGGGTCGAGAAAAAGAGAAGGAAAATTCGGGAAGAACCCAAAAGGGAAGGAAAAAGGGTCAGAGGAGGTAAGTTTCTGTAAATGGTTTTGAGAAAAAAGAGGATTTTCAAAATGAGGGAACAGAATGTGAGTTGATTGAAGAATTGGGGATTGCCGTTTTGGGAGGAAGATGAAAGGAATTACAGAGAACGAACGATGCAGAGTAAGAAGCTCTGGAAGGAGGTAGTGTGGGACGAGGAAATTTTAGCGGCAACACCATACGCAGCAAAGAATCCTCATTTTTACTATAAATAATGAATATATTAAGGAAAACTTTTCTTGTTATTCCCAGAGTATTTAGATTATTTCCAAAATAAAAATACACACGCATTTTGAAAGTAGAAACCCGTACCCCAAAAAAAAAAAGGGGGCTTCATCCATATTAAAAATTTGTCTTTGTTTTATGTCATATTCCCTCCTATTCAAAATATAAGATGAATTTTGTTGAAGAGATTTATTTTTTTTTATAAAATACATTTCAATTTTATCTAAACATTTAATAAGTTTGTTCTAATTTTATCCTTGACATAAGCATTTACGAGTGTTTTTCATTTATTTTTTGACTTGTTTTCTTATTAATAAGGACATATTTGAAATATATATATATATGCCTTACATATTTATTGTTATAAACTGATTTTTTAATAAACATATATCAGTCAATTTTATCTTATACTATTTTTAGTCCTTAATATAAGAGTTAGTTAACTAATTTGAATAGATTAAGAAAATTAGTTAAGTTAGTTATTTGTAATAAATAAGTATTGTTTTTCTTAAAATACCCTTGCTAATCAAGTGTCATTTAATGAAACATTTAATATGTGCAACTATTACAAAAGACTACTTTAAAAAAATAAATAAATATGATAGCCAAAGTATTTTTAAGTATTATATTTAGAACTAAATTAAAATTAAAACTAGTTTTTATATTTAGAAGCGGAGATAGTATTTTAAACTGAAGGCAATATATAACGGACTTATGAAAAATCTAAATTATTATACGAAATAAATGCTTTTTAAACCGAAGCGACATAAATGCTTTTTTTTTAACTTTTTTTTTTTGCCAAAATTTTTTTGAACCTTTGAAATAAATGCTTTTGAACTTTTAGTACAAGTACTATTTTGCTAAAAAAAACTTAGTATTATTTATTTATTTGCCTCTTTAAGAATTGCAAATTTTGTGGTTTTCTTTGTGTTTTGGGGGAAGAAGATAAGAAGTCATTTTGGCTGCTAACGAAAAATAGAAACTTGTAGGTGAGACGTGCAAGTTAGATATTTTCAAATTGACAGCTCAGATAGTTCAATGCACAACTTTTTCTTAAGTAAAATATATTTCTTTTATAAGTTTTCTCATGTTTTATATGTGTAACGTGCTACCGTTTATACAATTTCCATTTTAAGATTATTTCACAGTAGATTAAATAAAATATTTTAATTAGAAAATAAACTAAACGTATGTATTAAAATTTAAAGTAGAAAATAGCGATGATGCAATTAAAAATATAAATCAGATGGTACAAAAATTGAGAGCATAAACAAGCAGGTGCTACCAGAGTTATTTTGAAGATTAAAAAAACGAATAATTTCTCAATCAATATTAAATTAATAGGTATTGAAGGATTATTTTTTTTTTTGCCAACTTGAAGGATTATTATTAATTTTTAATTAAAATTACATTTAAAAAGTATAATTTAATTCACTTTGTCCAAAAAAAATAATTTCCCAATTTTCTATCATAATTGTATGGCATACTTTTTTATTACAATTTTAACGAGCCAATTGCTTTCATAAATAGGTATAGTATGATCCCTCAAGCGAATGGTTTAGTTACGGCCTAAGGTGAGCCGTAGTTGTTTTCTTTTTATATATATTTAAATTAAATTCTTTCATCTGTTTATTTAATTTAAGAAGATATATTGTAACAATTAAAAGAATGTTCCATCTTATATTTAATCTTTTCAACAAAAGAATAAATAGACAAAATTAAAAGAACCATATGAATGAGCTGTCCATATCTATTCACATGGGGCAAAATTTGTTTTCTTTTATCCGAACTTTGTCGCCGCATTATCACCCTACCGTCCACAATTTTATACGGATTATTTTTTGAAATTTGGTTCAAAATTAAAAAAAAAATTATATAATAATATTACCTTTTTTTTTATAACACGTACAAACAGTATATTAAAAAATTACGTTAATCCATAGTGCATTGATAAGGTATCATAGGGAAGTATGTTTAAAAATGTTACATTGGAAGGCCATTTCGTCCCTGCCAATTTCTTTCGCCCCATCCTAAAGAATTGATATCAGCATTATTATAACAAGTTGTGAAAAGTGTAACTTTTAAACCACTCGTATTCCCTGCCTGCAGAACATCATCATCGCCATGTGGAATCATTATAAAAGCTCAATCTATACTTTTCAAGAGGAATCAAGGGGAAGTATGTTTAAAAATCAGTCTATTTCAGGCAAGTTGTCATGGAAGCTCAAGCTACCTTACGAGATAATACTGTTTTCTGAGAGGCTTCTAAGAGATGATATGCAGTATGAAATGTAAATCAAGAAAGCATCAGTTGCAAAACGATGATAAGTGTCTTCTTTGTGATGGTGCTTATGAAACAAGACATCTGAACTTGTTTGGCAAACTCTCGAAATCACCCCAAAAGGTTATTTTACGTTTTACGAGACAAAACATGTCTCACCTATTTACCTCACACAACATAAGATCACCTAAAATAAATTAATAAAAACTCCTCAAATGCTTATCTGCATTATTTTCATTCACCAGCTCTGTCAGGTTTGCGATTGATTTCATTCTTCTTGCTAGTGACTGGGAGATCGTTCAATTAATGATTGGACTGCAGAGTTATTCTCAACAACAGGAAATTCCAACTCACATTTGCAAGGATTGGAAATTGGATGGATGTTCCTAACCATATCTAATTTGTTAGCATAGAAATGAAGTGATATAGTCAGAAAGCAAGTATCCTAATCCGATGCAAATATTTTCCTGATCAAATAAGAGCCAGAATCCTACGCTTCAGAGGATACAGATTGGTTCGCACCTATGGCATATCCTCGACGATACAAGACTTCTGCTTTAGCCCTTGTGTCTTGGGATTCCACTCGGCACTTCTATATTATACACATTATAGTATATACGTTTTTGTTTCAGTGGGTGAAATATCATCTCCCAGATTCTCTCATCCTGAAGTCAGCTCCGCCAGGATAATAAATTTAATGAAAAATCATAACTGCTCAGAAAATTTTGGTTGATCAAATAATCCAAAACTTCCACTGATGGACTAGTAGTAATTTCTATCCCCGGTTCCAACAAAATGAATAAATACTAAAAGCTATCTCCTACACAACCTAGAAAACTCAATGAAACACTTGCTATAACAAGAGGTATCCAAGGCCGAGAACAGCGGAGAAACTGGTGCATCATGTTGACAACTATGGTACAAATAATGACCAATGAAGGAGCATATCTCAAAAATCAGTAAAACCAAAGATAATACACATTCTTACTGTCTAATATCTTCACCAGCATAAATCCCCTCATCTCCGAGCTCCTCTTCAATTCGAAGCAACTGCATCAAAAAGGTGGCCATATCACGCAATGCTTCAGGGGAAGAGTCACAGGATAAAAAATATTTTTAAAGAACTTATATACATCATCAGGGTAAAAACAGAAGTCATCAATTGAAAAATAAACAGATTCGATTACTTTCCCTTTTTCAATAAAAGTGATTAGATCAACTTTATATGAAAATTTTTTGTTTTATTGATGAGAAGAGAAAGCAATACAACAGAAAAAGGCAAAAAATGCTCCCAAATTACAGTTGAGAAACTAAACAGACATTACTTCAAAAGCCATTTGTAATCTTTTCCAACATCCACAGGGGACTCACTGTCAAAAGAAATACTTCCTTTGTCCTAATTATAAGGCCTTGTTTGTAGTGTACAAATGATGACTTATAAATAGGACCGGATGTAGTAAATAAATAAAAAATTCCCATTTGCTGAAATCCAAAGGGAGGCCAAAAGAAGTAATTCTTTTACAAAGATCTAAACAAAAGAAACTTATTAAAAACTACTGCATTCCATTCTACCCATGTATACCAGAAGGCTGCAAAAACAGCAATGTGCCAAAGAACTTCATGCTTCTTAGGGCTACTAGTTCCAAGTCTTCATAATAGTGCAGTAAAATAACTAGCATGAGAACCCCAAAAAACCTGGTTATATTTTTCAAGACGCTCTCCTCTGCAAGGTGCACCTGCTTTGATTTGACCAGAAGCAAGTCCCACAGCTAAATCAGCTATAAAAGAATCTGCAGTTTCTCCACATCTATGAGAAACCACCATTCTCCAATGAGCTTCCTTAGACTGCTTCACCACTTCAATGACCTCTGTCACAGTTCCAACTTGGTTGACCTAGATTTCGATGAGAAATTATCATATTTTTAACCATAGTGGCATACCAGTTGCAACTTGATTGATCAAGATTACAGAAAAAGAGACTTCTCTTTCTTAAATAAAATAGAAGAGTACAAAGGAGAGGATCACAATATCCTTCCAAATAACAAGGGACCGATTAGAAAACCAAAATACATGGAACCCAATTTGTAAATTGTTCTCTCCTAAAATATTAACTATCACAATGAATTAGAATATAGCATCCACACAGAGTAAGCTTTAAGTCCACACTCCACAAAAGTCCTATGGTCCTAAATGATACTTAGTTAGGAGACATAATTGCTTTAATGGAAAACAAATTTAATTATCAAAAAATTAAAATCAGATTATGTAGAATTCATCATAAAATATTAGTCAGTTACCTTAAGAAGAAAAGCATTGCAAGCAGACTCAGTGATTGCTCTCTCAATGCGTTTTACATTTGATGACAACAAATCACCCCCAACTACCTGCAGGACGAGCGAAACAGAGATTAAGCATATAAACAGAAGCTCCTCTCAGCAGCAAACAGACCAACTGACATCCGAGTGATAAGACGAGAATAACATTCCTCCAAAGCCACAAGATGACTGACCAAAAAAGGAAAAAAAAAAAAAAAAGAAGTTATCTTGACATTGTAGTTCTGCACTGGCATTGACATACTAACAATCATTATGTAATTATTTTCCGCCTATCCAATAAACACCGAAGGTAACTGCCTACTACATAGTATCTGTTAATTGGATGCATGACATGGGATGAACAGAGAATGAGTGCACATAAGCAAAAGTTAAACATTAACTGTTTTAGAAATTAAACCTGACAAAATCCAAGACTTGAGAAATGCTTAAAATGTTCCCAATCTTCCTTGTCAAATGGATCTTCTATTGATACGATTGGGTATTCTACAAATTGAGGGGGGAAAACCAATATAAGCATATAAAGTGAAGTTCAATCAATATATAAAGCTAAAGTCACAACAAAAGTCATGACAACTATTTACCAGCACATAGTTCCCTGTACAAGTCTATCATATCCTCTGCTGACTTGAAATTCTGTCCAGACTTTTGAGGAGATTTAAAGTCCAGATCATACCTTGTACCTGTATAAGGAAAAAAAATAAACAGATCAAAATTAAACCAGTTACTGATTGCAAAGTTTCAGAACATATTCTCCTGCAGTTAAAGCCAACTTTAACAAGTTAAAAGAGCCATGCGCATTCTTTTTTCCTTCATTGACCTTTAGATTTTCTGCGCTCCAACAAGAATTCCCTTTTACTACCAGTCCTTTTGTGCCTCGTACAGTGACAGTGACTCTTGAAAAGTGAGAATAATATTGACTATTAAAGGTTGAAATTTGTAAGGGTTTCAATACCACTGATATAACCTGATTTAATATACTTTGCTCACACTAATGTTTCCTCAATATGTAAAATAAGTAAAAAACCTAAGCCCGAGGCAAAAGGGGGGGAAAAAAAAGGATGGTTACCAGAATGAATAAGTACTATTTCTTTTTCAATATACAGATAACCACACTTAATATGCGTTTCTTAAAGCATCTCTAGAGAGGAGAGAAATAAATGGCGAGTTGAGATATCACCTAAATTTGATGTATATGGCGTCAGTACAATTATTGAAACATACCCCATTAACATGCAAGATTACTATTTTGCAAAGCTCTCAGCAAGACTATGTTTTGTAGAGGTAGAGCAAAGTAAAAGAATTTGTATTAGTTAGCATTAAAAAAAAAAAAATGTGTGTTAGTTTAACACAATTAATAAAGCTCAGTAGCAACATGGTCACTCTTCTTTATAACAAAAAGCAATATCAGAGTCAACAGGCTAGAGCAGGTTTCATCTTGTCCAGTATCTTTAAGTAAATAAGGTACAGAAAATTAGAATTACCTATGCAAAAAGTTGTAGCAGCAACATCCAGAGCTATCTTTATTTTCTCGTTATAACCAGATCTGCCAATAGCCTCCTTTACAAGATCCAGGGCTTCTTTAAAGCTGATGAGAATATTCAGATATGGTCAGACAAAATCCAAAAAAAAGGTGCCTTTAACAATCTTATTTAGGGAGGAGTACCACATAGACCAAGCGTGAACTTCATAATAATTAGATAATTACTTACAAAATGTAATTATAAAATTGATAGACAGATTAACTGAAACTTCTCGTATTATTGTGAAAATTTTTCTGAAGGCCAGGGCTAAAAGTACATTTTCTGATACATTCTCGTTTTGATTAGCTTTACATCAAAAAGAGGACTCAACCTGAATATTACTCATTTAATTGTGAACACGGATTTTTGAAACCTATGGGGATGTCTGTTAAATCAATACTCAAACACAAAACACTTGCCTGGAGACATTAGGAGCAAAGCCACCATCTTCTCCAACATTACAACCATATGCACCAAATTTTTCTAAAATAACAGCCTGCCATTTCATTATCATAAATACAAATCAGTGAATCGGTATGAACATGATATCTTCGTGTGGATTTTTACTGTTAGGATTCTCTAATTCATCATTAGTGAACAATACAAATATTTGGCTAAGACATAACATATTTGAAGCCATGAAGAAACATAGTTATACAAAGATCCCAGAAATAGATGAGCAAACAGCAAAATTAGTTAGGACTGAAGGAGGACCAGAAACACTTGTCAAATGTCTTTCACATGAACAAGAACTTGTTTCCAATGGACATACTTTGCAGAAAGAGAAAAGTTATTCAGAAGCCATACTAAGTCGCAGCAAGAATGTTGCACCCATAAAATTAGAAGAACACATTGAATGTCTCTCTCAGACTAAGTGCTAACTAACCATGTTCTCCCAAACTTATGTTTCTAGCTTTGGAACGCATAAAGGAGTGTCGGATCAGGAGAAAAACGAAACTTCAACAGAGAAGAAAAAATAATGCAGATAAAAAATAAAAGAAAACAGACAGACAATCACCTTCAAGTGATGATAGGTCTCTGAACCCATTCTCAATGCCTCCTCAAATCTGTTTGTTCCGGTAGGTAAAATCATAATTTCCTATTCAGAATCAAGCTTATCAATTTAATAAAGTGAAACTACGTGCATTGAAATAAATACGGCAGGTAAACAACAGTATCAAAACAAAAAACCCAACAACCATAGTCAAACAATCTGATCATAACTCATTACAAAAAAATATGAATGAGCAAAGTAGTCAATCCAACATTATCAAATATCTATAGAAAATTATGAAGCAGAAGTTAAAATTCCAAATGAACTTTGAAATGTTTACATTATATATCAAATTCTCAGTAAAATATGTTTGCAAAACATACTCCTATCTTTAAGCCGCAGTTTGTATGGATTGTCACAAATTAAACGCTTGGATTCTGAAAAAATGTACCATTACAGGACCACATTGCAATTTAGTTCGTAGGTTATATTCTATTCATCTAGTTTGCTATGTTAGCATTCCTTTTAAACAAACTCAAAGCAATTTTACATCCAGAACTTTAAATTAATAATAGGCTCACAACCTTGGTTATTACTGTTTACTTCCTCCCGAAAGGTAGAAGATTGCTTCAAGCAATATACCAAAGAACAGAAAAACTCTCCCATTGACATAAATAAAATGTGGAAAAAGAACGTTACACAATATCCAGATGTGAAATTGCAGTACTTCTTGATCTTTCGTTTCATAACAGGCAGCGGAGGAGGGGGGATTAAGTTAAGTAAAATAGGTGAAATAAATAATAATATCAAACCATCAAGATATTGCATTGCAAGTTGAGGTAAAATTACCTGAATGGCAAGATTGTTTCCAGCATGTTTTCCACCACTTATAACAGTAAAGGCAGGAACAGGAAGCATTGGGCTGGTTTTTCCGGAGAGATCAGCAATGTGCTTGTAAAGTGGAACCTGATATTTTTTATGCTTTTCAATCACTTTGAAAGGACAAGCAAATTTATTTTCACATAAAAAACTAGAAAAATATTCAAATTAACAAAGAGTCATGCCTCCTTTTCTGCAGCTCCAGCTTTACAAGCAGCAATGGACACAGCTAATATAGCATTGACTCCAAGCTCTCCCTATAGATAAAAGCAAACATATAACAATAAAGAATTCTACAAGAATTGCAAGGTCTTGCAATCTGCTATAAAATCTCCAAACTTGGAACGCATAATTAATATCTTAAATCACAACATATAAATGAGAGAAAAGTCAGTCACACATACAGTCTTTATTAAGCTTTCCAAGAGAAAACAAAATATGAAAGCATCACATGGAAATTGCATTATGCATTGGATAATTGAAAACACGTTTTCATTAAGAACTAGATGATCAATAATCCCATGTAATTTGTTTTCACTATCTTAACTACAGCTGCATATAAGGGATCAATTCTCTGGGAGGATTCCATCCCTTACTTCAACTAGCTCAACCAGTCAATCAATCGTTTAAGGAATTCTTGAAATCAATTCCTATTTTGGGCTCAAGAATCACAGGTAAGTAGAATTATAATATTATCCAACCTCTTCAACAGAATATTTTCATCCTAGAATGCAAGGAAAAACCACACAGAAAAGTGAACCAGTGATTACATGTATTTATGCTTCCAACAAGCAATTGCTTGTGTTTACATTCAAGGGGAAAACACCTACCTTCTTCTCTGTTTTGTCCAGATCTATCATGGCCTGATCAATTTGGTGCTGAAGTGTTGGGTCCATACCAATCAGTGCTTCAGATATTTTTTCATTAATATTTTTAACTGCTTTAGCCACACTATTTCCAAGATATACACCCTTGTCCCCATCACGTAACTCTACAGCCTCATACCTGAGATCCTTAATCCAAACAGTTAACGTTAATTATGTATACTTTTAGAGAAAAAGAACCTAATAAATAATCAAACAGCTAGTAAGAATAATCACAAACACACACAACCACATTGCTGAGCCTAATCACCCATCCATGACAATATGGTTTATATAAAAGCAGGAGTGACAGCAGAAAAACATGAAACTAGCAACTACAAAACCACAATTGCAGTCCAATCGGGTTGCAACCACATAGTGGCTGCATCAAGTGATAAGAATTTAAAACTGATCGGCCTTGTCAAATGAATAAATTTGTATAACAAACTCGGACTATCAACCATGATATAATGTGATTAGAAAAACTCAAACCGACGCACAATTGCCTTGAAATAAAGTCAATTCCTAACAGGAAAATGCGACTCTAAATAGTTTGCCACTTTGCCTAATGATACCACAATCCCACAACAATAACAGCAAATATAATATGGTAACTACAAGAGGAATGATAGCAAAATCGACTGCATTATGCCCACAGAAATTGATTACCCATCATTGTTGGCAAGGAGAATCACAAGAAACTTTGATCAAATAAAGAAGTCAGTAACTTACACCCTTTCCTCCATTATCTTACTTATTTTCCATAGATCATCCCAGTTGATGTATTTCAAAATATCAAACTATAATTGAGCACTTTAAACCAGGACAAGAAGCAGCAACACTTACATCCCAGTGGAATTGCCGCTGGGAACCGACGCACGGAACATGCCTTTATTAGTGTACAGGTCCACTTCAACAGTTGGAATTCCTCGGCTATCAAGGATCTGCCTCGCCTTAATTCTCGTGATCACAGACTGAACTGCTTTTCTCATATGATTGGACTGACCTCACAAAAGATAACGACAAAAAAAAAAAAAAACATAAACAGGCAGGTAGATGCAAGACCACCGAATTCCTTCAGCTCCCAAAAAAACAAAAAATCGATGCTTAGACAACCCGAGTTGCTCATTGCAATTTCCCGAATCAATTGAAAGGAAAAAAAAAAAAAGTGACAAGATGGAATGGAAATTACAATGAAGAGCACAGGATCTGGGGTCTTGGCCCTAACAGCAGCATTGACGGCATCTTCGATTTTCCGGGAAAGCAGGTGCTTATCCAGATATTCTTGCACTGACATTTTTTTTTTTTTGTTGACTTCGAACAAGTCGGAAGAGCTGATTCTTCTGTTTTCTCCTTCGCGATATCTGTGACTCTCCCACTCACAGACTTGAAATTTCGAAACTTTTTGAATAGGCTCAGTGCGCTCGCTAATGGCTAATTAATTGTTCGCTGACTAGTGATGTGCATGTCTTGGACACGCCCACGGCGGTGTGGCTCGACTGTGTCTGAAAGGAACGCGGTAGAACTGGCGATGCGGTGCGCCCACGTTAAACGACGGCGGTGTTGCCCTCTTTCTTCCCTTTCGGTTTTTTTTTTTTTTTGTTTTGGGACCGTGCCCGCTTTCTCACCGCAGTAATACAATTGAATTTTTTTTATAAGAGAAAGTATTAATATAATTTTTAGTTCTCAAATTTGTATTCATTTTAATTTTGATCTTTTAAATTTCAAATCATTAGTTTTGATCCCTTAAAAGGTAAAATAATTCAATATTTGAAGAACCAAAGTTAATATTAACCCATAAAAAAAATTAATCTATGTTTTTGGCTACAGAAGAAAAATTAATCTAATGATTCTTATAAGTTTATTTGATTTTTAATCATGTTTTTGGGCATTTTTTATTACATTCTTACGGTGTTTTAACTATAAATATTGATCATTATATTCATAACTTATTAATTATTGCAAATGTGAGTGCTAATTAAATGACACATAAGTTACTACAAAATATAAATTTTTTTTTTAAAAATATGGAACACAATTTACTTATTATACGTAATCGGATTTCCTTACATTTGTATATAATACGTAATCGTATTGATTTTAATTTTATTTAAAACCATGTAACAAAATAAACTCATATAATTTCTTTTTGGTTGAGTAACTCAGATATTTGTTGATTAAGAGTTGTGATCAACTATAGACATCATTTTTTACAAATTAACAAATTATAAATATGAGGATTAATGTCTAAAGTTGAGAAAATAGTAAGAATTTAATAAAAAGGACTACAACAAGAATCTGGCGAAACTGACCTACAGACTTTTTTCCCCCTTATACGCCCGCGCGCACCAAATGCATGACAAAATTTATTTGGAGAAATTGCAAGAGATTAAAAAATGAGATGTCTGTTGACATGTTAGTCCTCAATCATGAGTATTGACTTTGACTAAGACTACTAATTGTTATGTTAGGGCTTTGTAGCCCGATGTCACTAGATGTTTTTCATAGGATATCGATGGTAATAATCCGATTATTTGCCACACACGTGAATGCCCGATCCCACCACCAATCAAGGTTATCATCCCCATTAGCGATTTTTGATAGATCTTTTTTTTTGGGCTGTGTTTTCTTGTCGGCTTAGTGATTGCAGTTTACTGCCTCTTAATTTGCTAATGTAAACATCCAAAATTATTGAAACTGTTATGAATATGATAATATTTTTATAGATGTCCATATATATAAATATATCTCATTATCTCTTATTATCTCTATATCTCACAATTATTTCTTATTATTATATAATTTGTAAATTCTATCAAAGATGTAAAACTGTGCTTCTAAATAGACGCCGTGTATAATGTATTAAGCACTCTTAAATAGAGTGAGAAATATTCTCTCTTATTGATCATCTCTTCCTCTGTATGATTCTTCTCTATTTCTTCATTATTTATATCAAAAACTCTATTGTTGAGAATACTTATCATTAATCCAGGTCTTCAAAAAGAAATTAAAAAGTTATAGCTCTGATATAAAAGAAATGCTCCATGATTCAATTTTATGAATATAAGCGAACGCAAACTTCGCCTACATCATTTCACTATCCATAATCTTTTTTAAAGATTTTTTAGTAAGAGCACTCCAATTTGTCTGTGGGCATCTCGATTCATTAAAAAGTTATACATTGATCAGCTGAGAGCGGAGAAAATCCTACTGTGGGACTCAATGCACTTTTCCTGTCAATTCATTCAATACATTCATAAATTCCGTAGAAATGAGAACACTTTCAAAGGACTAAACACGTAGTATGGTATAAACAGTAAGCCTTCTTTTATGCTGCCAACACAAATGCGCTGGATGAACCTGTGAAGTGACGAATTGACCCAAATAGGCTCTTTGATGCACCAAAATGTCTGATTCTGTACACACTAGGGGAAGCATTTTGTGGGATTCTCCATTCTATGGTTGCTTGACTCCGAGTGCTAAACCTGGAAGGTCTTGACCACTTGAAGCGCAGGCAGAAATCATCATCATCATAAGCAGGAACCCAAGTGTCCTTATCTTGGAGGGCTTCCACAAGGGCAAATGTACCTTCAGTCATAAGGTCATTCCGAGGGCAAGCCGACCAGAACTTAACCGTCACCATTTCGCCTCTCCTAAAGGTGGAGTTCTTTGGTACATCAGTGATCACGTCCCCAAAGTTTACACCGAGCGGGGTTGCATCCACCACCACCGGCGGGAGTAGGCTTATTTGCTTGCTCAGGAGATCCGGCGGTTGTGGACCTGGTTCCACTGGCTGGCCCCTGATGAGAGCATTTGCAAGCTTCTGGAACTCCTGAATATACGCACTCAGTGTGTGTGGACCATATAATGTGGAAGCACCCTGGAAATTGAAGTTTGAAGGACACATAATTATTACCATATGCTTCTGAGAAATGATGCATAATCAAATGCAAGTACATTGATTAATCGGATAATCTTACTAAGGGAAGCTACAAACTTGAAATAGTACTTAAAAAGCCTGTATCCTGTTTCAGTCTCTTTCTTTACTGTTATGTGACATGCTAATACTCCTCCGGTCCTTATTATAAGACCCCATTTGACTTTTTATTTGGTCCTAATTATAAAACCCCAATCCATTTTGTCTCTTATATTTATGCATTTTTTTCCAAGATAATCCTTCTAATAATGATAGTTTTAGCCAATATACTTAATTAGCAATGATATTTTAGGAATGACAACACTTATTTATTATAAATAACCAACTTAACTTACTTCCTTAATCTCCTCAAATAAGTCAATTGGGTCTTATAATTAGGACCGGAGGAGTATGATTTATGAGTAAAATATTCCACCATTGCAATTGGCTATTGCTATTGCAATCTGGAAATTGCACTCCGTGCTTCATATTTCTTTCACAAAGTGACAGCTAACCTCATATCTTTGCACTTCGTATTCTTCGAACGTAGTCACGTACTGTGAATAAGTATTAGTCAACCCCGCTATAACGACATGAATGTTGGGACCAAAATCTTTACTACCACTTAGAACTGTCTTTACAGCATCACGAAGCCGCCTTCCAGCCATAGTTGTGAACTCTGAAAGTAAAATAATGACAGACAAACATGAAGCAACCAAAGAAATATATAGGCCACAGTATCTACAAAAGAAGAGGTAGAATAACGTGAGCTTAGGCAGTGGATGCTGATATCGGACAACATTGGATCTTAAGATGCTTTTAGCACATATGTAAAAGCGAGCTCGATTCAAGCTGCTAGGCTGCAGCCAAGTTTGAGTTGCATCCTATAGTGGCAGAATCTAATTCATCGATATAAGTTTAGCTACAAACTTTATTGTTTGTTTTTCTCAAGCACCAGTTTGTTTGATTTGAGCAACTTTACATTAGCATGGATTTATATATCATAGCTTCAGGCTCTACCAACACAATTGATAATTCCAACTAGTATTAAGCTTCTATTCTCGATGATGTAAAAAATAATTCCAATGGTACCACCATTAGTGGACATAAAAAGAGTAAAATTTGTAATCTCATACCTGCTGGGACACTAAGAATGACGAACTGCCCAATTCGGAAGATCTGGATAGGAAGTATTGAAGGCTGCAAAAAAGGACAAGATTGCAGAAATATTAATAGAAATACAAGTTATCAAGTTATTAGCCTATCTCTATTCTCCACATAAATGAAATCAGATGCAGAGACTTCTATATCAAGCAGCAGTTACCAACAAAAATGATTGGGAACACACCAGTCAAGACATGTAACTTTTTGCAGAAGATGGATCCTCTGGAATACAAACATCTAAATGACTATGGACAAAGGAGTTCATCGGAGTCAATTACCATCACTCTTCTCTACATAATGCATGTAGTAACCACCATGCTCATCAAACTAATCCAGATGTAGCATATCTCAGTATCAACATAATTTTTTTATTTTCCAAGAAAATTGCACAAGTTATACCACAGAATGATTGAGAAAGCAGGACAAGATAAGATGTAATAAGGTTACAAAATTAACTTATCTCACAAAGATAATTTGACTTACTAAAGGAACTAAACTAGACATGTCCGAGCATTTATCCAGTTAACAGAGTCTCTATGCCATCAACCTTCCATTTTTGTCTTTAGCAAACATTGCAAAGATAAAACTAAGCCAAGGGACTATAAGATCATAGAATTCAGGACAGATGAGATAAATTTAGATAATGACTCACAGCCCAATCATATGGTTGCTTCATTTCACCAGTATCGAGCAGAATAGGCTTTGGCTGCTGACATTTCACTTGTTCTCTAGTCGGAGTTTTAAGTACGTTGCGGACCAGTTTCCAAAAAGGATTTCCCTGACATACAAACAGACCAAACAATAAGCAAACATAATGTTTGCAATTCTGTAACCTAGGATTATGAAATGCATAAGGTACGCAATCACTGATTACCTTATCATCACCTTGCTTAAAATCAAAGGCTCCAGGTCCATCTGTTGTTCCAGCTGCAAATGCAAATCCCATTGCAGCAGGACATGTTTTTACTGTCTCAGGAGCTCCTCCTTTATTAATGGTTACATCTTGTTGGGAGAAATCCAAAAAGGCATGTCGAAAATCAATCTTTCCTTTAATCTGTTCAGAGGCTCCATTGAAGAGATCCACAGCTTTTCTGAATTGTCTCTGTCCTATGATACGCGTACTTTCAAATTCATCTGGATAACTACCACATTTGTTACAGACAGCAACTTAGTAATTACAAGGCTTAGGTGAAATCAGTAGGCAATATAGAAGCTTGAGTGTCCAGGAAGTAATTACCCAGGTCCTCGGCCATAGCATAATTCATTCTTCCCTCCACACGTACTATGATTGAAGTCACAAGGTAGTCCAGTGTCTATACAAAAGGCACCAAGGACATTTGGACTAACATCACCGCAGTTCGATTGACAAAATGCAGACACAAATCTAGGCCTATCA